TGAAACAGGGTTTCCCTGTAGCCCCAGCTGGCCTGGAACTCACTATGTAGACCAGGCTGGCCTTGAACTCACAGATATCCACTTGCCTCTGCCTCCTGAGTGCTGGGACTACAGGCGTGCAGCACCATAGAAAGGAATCTTTAAGTTTATTACCTGCACTGTCCAGTGCAGTGGCACCAGCCATGGCTACTTGGCACCTGAAATGTGGCTGCTCTGAATGGGAAGGGGCTGGGAGTGTTAAATACCTACTGGATTCTAAGCATTTCAGGTGAAAAGCAGAAATATGAACTAGCCCATCAATAATCTTTTTTCTTTCCTTCCTAAGAACTGGGATCTTGTGCATACTGGGCAAGAGCACACCACTGAGTCCGCTCATTTTTTTTTGGTTATATTGAGTCCAGTTAAATATATTAAAGCTGGGTGAAGTGGTGTATGCCTTTCGTCCCAGCACTCAGGAGGCAGAGACAGGCAGACCTCTGTGAGTGAGGCTGGTCTGGTCTACATAACCCAAGTTCCAGGCCAGCCAGTGGTACACAGTAAGACCCTGTCTCAAAACAAAACCAATACCCCCCAAAACTATTAAAATTGACTTCCCTGTTTTTTACCTCTTAATGGTGGTTATCAGAAAATTAAAAACTATACCTGTGGCTCCATCATGTTTCTGTTGGATGGTGCTGGTCCATAGAGTATGTTAAGCCCTTATGTATAATCCACACGTTGATTTATTTACTTGTTACAGGAAACAGACTCAGGGAGGTTAAAGAACCCAGCTGAGGCCGCACAGCTCCTCAGCACAGTATCTAGGTTAAACCTAAGCATCTGTGCTCCTGAGTGTGGCTATGCTGTCACTGTATGCATGTACACAAACAGACACACACACAGAACAGACACTGTGACTGACAAACTACCCACAGACATACACCGTGGGACAAGTAGCAAAAATAGAGGCAGAAAAAAAACCAGTCATACAAAGGTTATGTTCACACACACACAAATTCAGTTACACTGTGACACACAAAGGAATGTAAATACAAGTCTAGAAACATCTCTCTCCTCCCCTCCCCCCTCTATCCCGATATTCCCAACATACCAACGCTGCTTCCACAGATAGGCAAACGAACCTCACTACCCACTTCCCTCCTGGCCACACTGAAGCCACGTGGGCAGGCAGGTGGTGTGAGGGGCCACATCAAACAAACAAAGGAAGGGAGAGCATAAAGAACCTGGCATCACAGCATGCTCCGGCTTCTGGGTCCTTCCTCCCTGCTGCCCTAGTGCCGGAGGCAGGGTCACAGGCGACAAAAAGGATATTCAGGCAAATACCTGTTCTCCCATGAAGGCTAAAGGCGCTCCCTTCCTAGAACAGGAAGGACTGGAGGAACAAGGAGGCCTTGGAGGAAACAGAAGGGCCCCTTGGAAACATTTTGAGCTGCTCCATCCCAGGCCCCTCAAGGCTCAGACCAGTATCTTTTCTCCCCTGGGCCATCTCTGCCCGCCATGAACTTTTCCATTCACTGTTCTTCCACCTGGCAGGCAGAGAGGTTTCTAGGACCTAAGTCTGAGCGTTTCTGTCTCCTAAAGGCCCTGCTGGATAAGTTGACCTCTCCTTATATCTTTACCCAGTCGCCACAAAACCCTTATTTTTTGTTCCAAACTGATTCATTTCCTTGGATGTGAAGGTCCCCCATGCTCCTGTGCTCTGAACATGCTACATCCCTCTGGCCAGAATGCCCTGCCTCTTCACACTCAGGGCTTGCCTCTTAGGTATCTTTCTGAACCTTTTCAGATATGTTTTCATTATTTTTAGTCCTTGGCTGGCCTGGAACCCCTTTGTGTCCCCCAGACTGGTCTTGAACTTGTGATGATCTTCCTGCCTCTGCCTCCTGAGTGCTGGTATTAAAGGTGGGTGCCACCATGCCTAGTATGATCCCTGGCTGTCAAAGTGCAAAAATATAAACTGCACCTTATCGCAAAGCTAATTAATCCTGGGCGTTGGGCCAATCTGTGTTTTAACATGCCTTTTATGCCTTCCAGGTGAATGTGATGTGCGTTGGGGCCTGAGAACAGCTGATAAGGACACTACACTATAGGCAAATGTTCACTGGCACTTTCTGCCCCTTTCCTCCGGGGTGTAAGGAACTTTAGGACGGGGTTCTGTCTTCCTTCCAATGCTTGGACAGACGGGGCTACGGTGACTACTTATGTTCAATAAATGCTTGCTGAATAGACTATAAGGGCATGTGTACCCACAATTAATCAACTTGTGACAGGCAACATGGTTCTTGGTTTTGCTGGCTTTCTGAAGTGCTGGGGATGGACCCAGGGCTTTTTTATATGCCAGACAAGCACTTACCACTGAGCTACACCTGCAGCCCTTGGGTGGTGGTGTGATCATAAATTAGCTACCTTCTTGAGTATTAGCTATGAAAAGTAATCACCCCCCATACTGAAAATGACAAAAATATTCCGAACACACATGCACAGTACATGTCCACAGTAAAGCCACAATCATGAAATGTCATCTCACATAATATACACAATGGGATCTACATGCCACCAGGGAAAGGTTCCCTTGTCATCAAATATGGGTCAACGGTACAAAGAGTGGGGCACAGAAGATGGTCACACATAGATACGGACACTGGGGGTTCACAACAGGGCTGACGCTGACGAAAATTAAAGTCACGACAGACTACACACAGCCAATGGAGAGGGCATGTACATGAAGAGACAGACCAGAGTGGTCAGCAAAGCAAGCACACTAAGAATGGTCCTTTGGGAAGGTGGGTGTGGTGGTACACACATGACTGTAAAGTCCAGGGCTCTGGAGGAGGGTCAGGAATCCCAGGCCAGCCTCAGATCCATCACAAGTTCAAAGCCAGCTGGGACTAATGTGAGTCAAAAAAAAAAAAAAAAAGGTTCTTTGGGGTCATGGTGAAAAGTAATATTTGTGTAATATTTGACTTGATAAAGTGGTCATCTCTTAACAGAAATGCTCAAGGATTTACAAACACGTTAGAATATTGAATGTGTTAACTGAGCACACACCTCACAATCGCACTGACAGTAAACTTAGGAATTAAAAGGCAGGTGTAACCACACGCACACACTTGAATGTTCCACATCACTATGTCACACCCCAGGGTATGAAGGTCTGTGGCATTCCACATCCTCTAGGAAAACAGGCTACTCTGCTCTCAGCGGGAGTGTATGCTGTGTGGCTAAGCCATGGGATCCCAGCATGAACTCGAACTGTGGAGATAGACCTGACAGCCCAAACAGAATAAGGTTTATAACCTTTACACGCTAAAGTAAACATGCAAAAACATAAACATGTAGGCAACATGAAAACAGGGACAGATGCATATACCGCCCTCACACACATCCGGTCCTCGGGGCGGGGACATGAAATAGGGGGGCAATCCTAATGGAAGTTTGAACATCATGTCTACAGCCTGTGTAGAGCAAGAGGGGGCGGGGGGGCAGCCTGGCTGCACACATGTAATTCAACATGTCAAAGGCACTGAGCTCACGGCGAACACCGCCCCATACCAGGCACTCGGGTCAGGAAGGGTCTGGCACCGCAAGCAAGGCCCCCCGAGAGGCGATTCTGTGTCTAGCGGGAAGGGCGCGCCCCGCATGTCTGGGCAGCAGACCTACCGGCCTACCCACGGCCACCCGAAGTCATGAGCGGCCACGGCGCAGGAGGGGACCCCAGTCCACACCCTCGTCCCAAACCCGAGTGCGCGCCTCCTCCCACCGCTGCCCCTAGGGTCTGGCACCGCAAGCAAGGCCCCCCGAGAGGCGATTCTGTGTCTAGCGGGAAGGGCGCGCCCCGCATGTCTGGGCAGCAGACCTACCGGCCTACCCACGGCCACCCGAAGTCATGAGCGGCCACGGCGCAGGAGGGGACCCCAGTCCACACCCTCGTCCCAAACCCGAGTGCGCGCCTCCTCCCACCGCTGCCCCTCGGGACACCTGAGTCCCGGTGGTGCCCCCGCCCAGGACCCCCTC